TATAACAAACAAAATAAAACATTTGTAAAAATAACTTTATTTATAAAATTCGATTTTATTTTTCTTTTCATGAATGCTTATGAATTTAAATATAAAGCAAATCTTTAGAAAGGAATATAAATATGATGTTGTTTTTTTACAATAATTTTTACAAAACATTGATAAGAATTTATAAAAACAAAGTTATATATAATTGTTAAAATTTATTTTCAAGTATATAAGAAAATCAAATAAAAATGAATTGTCTCTTCTATCTAATCCCTTTTATGTAAATACATATCTGTTTGTCAACCAAACTTGTTTGTCGCTTTTTTCTTGCCTCATTTCCATACATACGACTCATGTATATTAACCAAAATTCGCTAGTGACATAATGCAAAAAAAAAATATAGCTATTACTGCGGAAATCGAAAGAATATTAATGGTAAACTGGCTACACACAGAAGCGAAGTAGTTTTATCGATAATCAATGACGTGACCAAACGACTTGATGAAATGGAAAGAAATTGGTAGGGATACTGTAAAAGCTTTTATCATGGCGGGAGGGGAACCGAAATATAGAATAGTAAAGTTAATTAGCAAATGGTTAGATAGTAAAGAAAAAAAAAATACTAGTAGTTTAGAGTGGCGGGGAAAGAACGCCATCATATAGATTAGGGCACGGCCAGCATTTATACTTTATTCCTCTCCTTGAAACCTTCTTCGATTTGATTATTAAATTTGTAAATTCGTGTTTTATTATTAATGCGAAAAAGTAATTAAGCCGGAAAAATAAAGCATATCGGAAAATTATTGCCGAATGTAATTTTCCCCAACTATATTTAGTAAGGTAATTTAAGAGATCTTATTTATTAGATTTTCAACGACGATTCCCCTTCATTAGGATAGCCTTATGACATGCGTTTGATATCCAGTATGATGAACTAATGTTTCCTACGATGCGTTAGACCATTTATGTGGAACTTTTTTCGGTCGATGTATGGAGAGAGAGTGAGCAAGTCCTCGTTAGGATTGCCTAACGACTTAACTTTGACGCCCTCCTTTCTAGTAATTCACTTAGTCAACCCTTGTACTTCTAATACTTAAATTTCCCACTAAGCATTGGTACTAACGATGTTTCTTACATTTCTTTCTTAAGGATAGACTTTCCAAGTTCGATTAACACGAAAATTGTCCGTTATTGATTGCCTCATTAATAAAAAAAAACAATATGTTAGTAATTCAAGCTGTTAATCGGAAAGTCTTTTTTGATGACAATTTTATAGCGACACTGAATTTGAGAATTTTGATCAAAGAAACTGATTTGATAAATGAATGCAATGTCAAAAGTTTCTGTTAGAAGTAAGACATTCATATTTCGGATTTTAGAACATATAAATTCCATTTTTTGCATCGTCAATGCTCATCAACTTTAGCACCATAATAAGCTTCGTGATTTTATTCAAAATAGTTTCAGTGAACCACAAACTTTTTCTAGACTTCGTGATAACATTTTTGAAGAATTATGCCCACATACAATTGCAAAGAGATGGTATATTAAAGGAGTGAAATCAATAACAACATCGGCAATGTATGAAGAAGTGAACGGATTGAAATACAATTCCGCCAGATTTTTCGTAAAATTATAATTCTTTAATAGATGATATACTTCAGGACTCTTACCAAAAATATTTGAATCAACCGATCCTTGTATTTTTAACCATCATGAAAACTCCTTAGATTTAACAACATTGGTTATTTCGCAATTATGTAGGTAAAGGGGTTGGAGAAAATCAAACAATATTATTAAATTAGTGGTACCATCTGACAATTTGATGTATACTGTCAATATCTTTGTTAGTTCTGGTTATTCATCATGGATCGATCATTTACCACACAATACGTATTAGATATCAATCTGCGTGGAGAGTAACGAGAGCAACTAGAACGATGAAATGTTTTGTGAGAAATAATATTGGATAATTATGATTTGCAAAGGACCAGTATTTTTTTTTTTTTGTTTTAGATTACTTTCGTTATGTATAACTCATTAATAGTTTCTAATAAAAATAAAGATCATATAAAGATTTTTCAATAATGGTAGTTTCTTATTAAATACAAGTAATATTTCTTGTATTTTATTTAGTAAAATTAAATTTGATTTTTAATATTAACTTTTAAAAATTATATAATTATCTTTCTATATCATTTAACATTTAAACTTTAAATAAATAAAAGCATTAACTAACTATATTAAAGAAAATTTTAATCCACCATTAAGTTTCTAAAATTATACAAAAATGTTTGTAAAATATAATATAACTCATAAATAAATAATTTCTTAAAAAAAAAATATCATAAATAAGGTAAACTTTTCTTATTCTATTCCATAATTGTTATTTCTAAATATTTAATCTTTTCTCCTTAAATGTTTTCTATTATACTAATTATACTATTCCTATTTTATTATTACTCTAACATTATAATACATCTTTTTTTTTATTTTATTTTATTTTAAAATTCTATCTATAAAAAAAAAAAAAAAATTGTTTTAATACAGTTCCGGTATAATAATTTATATTTCCCAAAATTTCATTATTATTTTTATCCTTTTTTTTTTAACTTATTTCAAATGCATAAAAAAAAAATCTTTCTTTCCTCTAGAGTTCTGATCTCGCCTTTATACTCATATACCTAGGATGCCTCATTAAACGAAATAGATTACTTCTATTTTTCACATATCTGAAAATTACATCAATATGTTGTTGATCAAAATGTCTTTTTGAAAAGCTAAGAGAATGATAGGTTGGTGCCATATTTTCCAAAAAATTCGCCAAACTAGCTGGCGAAAATAAAAAATCTCTAAATACCAATTCTCTGAGTCCAGTTGGTAGATGTTTAGCAATATCCTCATAATTACATATAGGATGCACTCTGTCAGTAAATGTAATATATAATATTTCTAATTTTAACGAGACACCCAAGAAAGTCAGTAATGCATTAAATGCATTATTATCACCATCCTTTAAAACCAAGCGACAATCTGTGAGATTTTGACAATGCCTTGTCATGACGGAAAGTACTGAAGGCAATTCAGATTGAGGAGTTATTCCTGCTAATCGTAAACTTTGTAATTGATTATTAGAATCTCTTATCATTTTAATTACCATATCAGCGGCCACTCCTGGATGCACATAAATTTCCAATCTCTGAAGTTGTCCAAAATTTACTTTATATAAACTGTACATCTTTCCCGGTCCTAATCCAACGCATTTCCATAATACTAAATGTCGAATATTTTTGCATTCAGATAAAGCCTCTAAGGAAGGACAATCAATGAAATTACATCGATTAAATTCTATTGTATTTAGATGATTAGGGAAATTAGCCAGTGCTGTTAAGAGTTCTGGTTGAACTTTGTTTGTGAATACCTTGTCTTCTGGTCTAAAAACCAACCTAAAGTGTTCAAGTTCGCGTTGAACGTACACTAAATTATGTAACATGTTCATGGAATTTACCGAAATTTCCACGTCAATGGTAAGTTGTTTCAGACTATGACATCTTTGAGATATTGACCATAAATCTATATCATGATAATTCCCTTCAACTTGCAATGAAACTATACGAGATAAACAAGTGTTTGTTCCCGATAAGGATCCCGTGATAGGGATATTATTGGAAACTCCGGACCAAAGTATCAAAGTTTCAAGGATAGGGCATCTATTCATTAATAATTGAAGGAAACTACTTGCAATTAATTGTACGCAAATATCTCTATAATGTTTCTGAACATCCGCCGATGCTGTTGCCAAAAGCCAATTTTCTATCGTTTCAAACATGGTTTTACAACACAAATGTCGTAAAAAAATTGGGTAATCGAACGTTGCACGTTGTGGCAGCGGAACCTCCCTGGGATATGTCATCCAATCTTGCATCGATTGTAGTTGATCCTGGTCTTCTATACACGAAAAATATGTTCGTAAAAGACTAGCATCAGCTTTATCTTTTAACAGTTTAAAAGGTTCCCTCCATAAAATTGGTACAACAATCCTGCACCACGACCTATTCACTAAAAGACAAGAATGTAATGAACTTCGTTCTCCCCTGAGATATTCGAAGATTCTAGCAAGACATTCGGGTATCATCAACGGTGAATTGATCATCTCCGTTGAAGAAACTTGGAAGAAAATAATTAACTAAATGTAAGTAATATAGGAAATGATATTGTAAATGTAAAATCGAATTATAAGCAAATACATGTCCTTGCACACCTTCTTCGATAATCATCATATTTGAAGAAAATTGGCCAACCAGTTGCATTTGTTGATAAACCTGTTGATTCATTGTCAAAACACCTATTAAAATCTAGTTATAGTTATTATAAATATAGAATGTATTTTATTAAATTCATTAAAAATTTAATAAAAAAGTCCCCACCTCTTACACAACATTCAACTTGACTAGATTTCCTTTCCCTTCTTTTTTTTTTTAAAAAAAAAAAATAAAAATAATGATGCATTAATAAAATAATGCATATCGTTGAATTCGAAAATATAAAATACCTTCTAAATATATTGGAACTTTGTTCTTTGAAATTCCCTTATTCGAATAAACCAATACCAAATAAAAGTTTGAGCTTTTCGGGTAAAATAAAAATTTCTTTTTAAAGGTAACCCAAAAGGGTATTTGCTTTAGCTCTATCACCAAAAGGAAATAAACGAAGTGGTTAAATAAATATTTTTTTTTTTATTTATCAATATGGAAAAAAAAAAAAAAAAAACTAACGAAAATTACGTAATGCACCTTTACTTGATAAATCTAAGTCAAAGTCCGAGTATTGTTGCAAGTTTACGTGGTATTCAATGTGAAACATATCGTTTTAATCTTCGCATACTTTTCCGATTCGGGAAACGTCAAAGTTGTTGTCATTTTGATTATCATGATTCTGGTATAAATTGGTAAGATCATTTGCATAACCGAATAAATTATTAGTTTGACCACTAAGTATATCACATGAATTCAGTATCACAATTCGTTTCTTCATAACTGAAGTAAATGTCTAAAGTTTACCAATTGTCAGTAGGCAAGACCCTTACCGACTATCACCGTTTTACATTTGGACAAATATTAAGTTAATGAGAAAATTAGGTGAGAATATTTGTTGTCCCAATTCTATTTGGAATTATAGTTAAATTTTTTTAAAAAATCTTCAAAATTTTGATTATTCACCTTTTTTCCGTGATCCATTTATTTGATCCACATAGCTAATTTGATGAGATAATTCATATTATTTAAAAAAAATCATCATGAAGATTGAATTCTCAACGAGAGATGTACTGATACGAAATGTTGGTAATTATGATGTGAAGATTTATGTTGGTCAAGGAGAATGTTCAAAAATGTTTTGGGCACATACGGTTATTTTGCGTACTCGTTGTGAGTACTTTAAAATAGCTTTGTCCAACACATGGGCTACTCAAGAAGATGGGTTGACTGTCTTCGTAAAGCCAAACATTCACCCAACGGTTTTCGACTCCTTATGCAGGCAATGATTCTCATACGACTTTTTTATTTTGATTTTGTCGATTTGTGATTGTAATCTTGTATTTTTAACGAAACTTCTCTTTATAGTTATATATATTCTTGTCAGCTTTGTTTCGTTGAAGAAGATGAAGGGCCGGATGTATACGATCTGTTGTTCGCTTGTGATGAATTGATGTTGCATGAACTAGCGGAACATATTCAAGAATATCTTATTCAACGTAAACCCGAATGGATGAATGAAAACCTAGTGACAATCCTTCGATCAACTTGGTTGATCCCTACGTGTACTGCGATTAAACAATTTTGTGTCGAAAAGATTTGTGATGATCCCTGGTTATTATTTGCGTCAGATCAATTTTATCGTGTTGAAGAAGAAATATTGATAGCTATACTTCAGCGAGAAGATTTAAACCTCCCAGAAGTGTACATATGGAATAATGTAATAAAATGGGCTACAGCTCAATTGGATGTAGAATTAGATACTGATGTATCAAAATGGAATTTAGAAGGTTTCATTTTATTGAAAGGAAAGATGAATAGATGCCTTCCTTATATAAGGTTGAATAATATTGATATGGAAGAATACTATCGTAATGTTCGACCTTTTAAGAACATCTTCTCAAAAGAAATGCAAGAGAGAATTGAAGAATACTATTTTACTGGTAGAAAATTGGATATATTTTATAATCCTAGATTACCGTTTATTATTGACTCCTGTCTGATAAAGTATGAACATGCGGCACTTATCTCTCATTGGATTAATCGAGGAGAAGGAAAAGTGGCAACGAGAGAAAAGAATCCATTCAATTTTAGGTTGTTGATACGTGGGAGTGATCATGGATTTTGTGGTGAAGTCTACGATCGAATCAGATTTGAATATCCCGCCTTATTAGTTTTAATACTGACTGAAACCGACGAAATGATTGGAGGTTATCAAAGAATAAATAGTAATTATTGGAGAATGTTTGGATATGATTATGATCGGGAAAGTTTTTTGTTTCGTATTAACCGTGGGAATGTTAAAAGATCCGTGATTAGTCGCGTTGTACATCCTACACACGCTGTATACAATCAATCAGGATGGGGGCCATGTTTTGGAGAAGGAGATTTGTGGTTAAAACGTCATTTTCGTGATCCCACAGAATGCGTTTGCAAGAAAGCTTCTTATGAAGCTCGGATTGCACATGATGAATCTTTCATAGTAAGAGAGTATGAAATATTCGAAGTCACACCTGCCTGAAAAGAAGGAATATCGCAGGTATTCATGTTTTACATCATAAGTTATCTGTTTCGCTCCATATTAATTATTGATTTAATACTTTCATATTATTCTTTTTTATAACATCTTTATTGAGTATACATATTCATTTGATGAAATTCGTTAAATTATTGGCGAATTTGAAATATTTTTATTTGGATATTATATATATATAGTTCAATATAGAATAGATTTATAGATCTATTAAAAATTTGTTTAATATATAAATTCATCAAATATGATTAAAAAAATATAAAGGAGCTTTTATTTGATTCATTGATTTTAGGTAAGTGTTTAAGTGTTGCTTTTTGAATTATTTATATATATAAAAATAAGTATTAGTTTACGTGTTTTTAATTAAAGGAATTGTAAATAGTTTTTTGATTTCCACCCTTTTTTTTTTTTAAAAAAAAAAAGTATTTATACTTATATTATATGTGATAAAACATTGATTAACTTATTAGTAAAACAACTCTAACTTTTATAAACTAAAGAATAATTTATTGATTATTGATTGCATTTTTTAATTCATTTATTAAATGCATGATACTTTAACAAGTTATTTTTAATATAAGAATTAGATGACACATTATGATTCTTCAGTAGTTTGTAAATCTTTCCTCATAGCATAAGCGTCTTCCCCATCCGCATAATACTTGTCTTCAATTTTATGAATCCTAAATATAAAATTATTTTGTTTCTTTATAATTTAAAAAAAGATTATCCAAAACCAATAAACATCCTTTTGATCTAAATATATAAAATTACCTAAATTTCAAAGTGTCTTTATATAAATTTAAAGCTGCTCTATTGCTTTTACGAACATGTAATGAAACATATTGGGCATTAAATACTTCCACCATATTTCTCTCTAATATAAAAAGCCAGATATTTAATTAAACGGTTAGGTTTAATAGGAAACTTATACCTAAATATTATTACGTACGAGCTTGTGTCATTAATTTCTCCGCGACACCCAATCTACGATATGTCCTCATTACCGATAGCGATGTAATATGACCATGCGGTGCTTCTTCCGGATCTTCTTCCCTAAATAAACAATACTTTCAACACCATTTTTCATTTTAAACATTCATCGTGTTTTTTTTTTGTAAAAAGATCATTACATCTTGGCTAGTACATAACCAACAATTCTTCCTTTATGATCTTCGGCGACGAATGATAATTGCGGCCAAGACAAAGCATGATAAAAATCTATTCAAAAGAAAAAAAAAAAAAAAAGACAAGTTTATAACTTGACATATTAAATAATCTATCTACATTGAACGAAAAAAAAATAAAATAAATTTCACCTTTACTGACAATATTTCATTTGATAATTTTCGGGTAAATTCATTATATTACAATTTTGCATAGCAAGTAAATCCTCGGACTATATTTAAATAAAAGAAATTTAATTAACCTAATTTCCTTAAAAATTTTAATCTTTATAAATCAAAAACATTTTTATTTTTCTTCCTTTTTTTACCATCGCTTGTCTGATATTCATCGTTCCTCAATTATTTTTTAATAGAAGAAAGAAGATTTGATTCAAATTTTATCAATCAAAAAAAATCAAGAACAGTCAGACCTCTGTATAATCACCTAATCGGTTACACTGAAATTGGTGATTTTATAGAAGTGTGACTTGTAAAAAGGTAACTTCTATATAATCACCATAATATTAAAAATCATGTGAGGTGTTTATATAGAAAATTTTATTGTATGTTTAAAATTATTTATTTATTAGATGATATTAGATGTTAAAATGTAATTACATTATTCAAACATTACATAAATACTATAAATGCTATTAAAAACTAATTAGGTACTAAAAAAATCTGTAATTGATGCTTGCTTTTGAGATTGTTGCTCAAGCCATTTGACTATCTTAAATACCTTTAAAAAGGTTTAAATCTTCTACATAAAATTTATCAGTATACTGATGTTCAAGTCTTTAAAGATTTAAAAGTATCACCAGAGATACTAAAATTTCTTCTTCTTCAAAGTCATTATCCTGATCACATGTTTTTTCTTGGATTAGTCTTATAATATTATCTTCACTTAAAATATCTTCAGTTGGGATTTCCTCCAACTCTTGAAAAAAATTGGTTAATGCATCGGCAGTAGTGTCTTAGGACATGATAATATATTAATATATTATCATATCCTAAAACACTACTTGCTTCAGACTATTATGTCCTAAGACGTCATAGTTTATCAATTAATATGTCCTAGGACACTATAGTCTATTGATTAATATGTCATAGGACACCATAGTCTATTGATTAATATGTCATAGGATACTATAGTCTATTGATTATTTTGTTTTAAAGATGGGGCTGTTTTCCTTTTCTGTAACCTGTTGGTTAGTAAATATGAATGAGATGTGTGCCTATTTGGTTGCCTGTTAAAATGCCAAATTGTAGTAAAAAAATATGTCAGGTGGCGCAGTAAATTCGTGATTAATTTTGACCGGCATTATACCATAATTCTGGCAGATCTTTAGAACATGTGATTCAGAGATCCAGCTTGACGCTATAGAATTGGTGAGGAACTGGCCGAAATTATGGTATAGTGTTAACTGAAATGATTGCAAGAGAGATACACTATGTATCTTATTAGGAGAGTCATATGATAGTGTTCCTAAAGGGCTCAGTGACAGGTGATTCTTTACGCATGTATTGTCAAGAGAATCATATGATAGTGATCCCAGAGGGCTTAATATCAGATGACATTCAGTGTAAAAATGTGCAATGTCAGGTGATCGTAATTTAGTGCATCTTAAATTCAGCCAGAATTATGAATTGGTGTTGGTCAAAATTATTATAATTTACTGCATCTTCAGTTTTGAGCACTTTCCTGTCACTTTCTCGTCATTTGCTCGCAATCTTTTTGTTACTTTCGAGGGATATTTGGGTCTCAGTCTGGTGTTTCAATTGGTTAGAAAATTAGAGGTATAATGTGGCGATAGTGCGATACTAACAACGCGGTACTGTCCTTAAGTACAATATACATCGAGTACATACTAGTGATTGGGTATTCTTCTGCCAATATTTTTGCGCGCTTGCTTACCCTAGATGTTATATATGCCCAGGTACACACTAGTAATAGGGTAGTCTTCTTCCATTATTTTATATAATATTTCTGAAGAAAATTACCCTGGATGTCATACCCGAGTATATACTAGTATTAGAGTAGTCTTCTCCTAATATTTTATATAAGATTACTACCCTAAAAAGAATGTATTTATTTGCGCTAATAGAGCGAGCATGTTTATTAAGTAAATACCGTCAGCCAGAGAATTTTGTATCTCTTTTTAGTATATTCTTATCTTACACGAAGGCTACATATTTTGATACATCCGGATGCCTTTTTCTTGATGGCTGGTATAAGTATGCCAATTTCAATTGCTGGTATAGGCGGTATATATTGATTCTGACCAGGCCTTCCATACTCAAGTACATATCTAGAAAAGTGTAGCCTTCTGCCATTTTTATATAATATAATTCCGCAGAAGGCTACACTTTCAGATACATATCTATTTCCCTTTTATTTACGATTTACCTACTAGCTTGCTATATGTCTCTTTTTTTTTGAAAGACGAAAAAATTAATTAAACATTTCAGAAATATATTGTGATATATTATCTTTACCTACTGTCAGCATGTATACCTCAACTATTTCTGATCAAACTAATCGAGAAACTCTCACCCACTACGACGGCGCTAATCCCGATGAATACTTGAGTGACTCAGATAGCTATAATAATGAATTTGATTTGGGATCAGATGATTATAATAACTACGAGTCTAATTATGAGTCAGATAATGAAGAAGCTCCCTGCGCTTCAACCAGCACTATCAAGACTCCATTAGTTCAACCACTAAATATAAAAGAGCGAAAGATTAATATTTCATATACTTTAAGGCAGGAAAAGTTTAATGATAATTTTTCTTTCAAGGACTTGCTAAATGCCATTCAAAAAATTTTCCTATCATCACCTAGAGATATGTCAGATGAAAAAGGATTATTGGAATATCTTCCAATCTATTCATTTCTTTTTTTGAATGAAAAAGGGTCTAGTTTATATAATGCTTATGACTAGGATGAAGTGGAAGATAAATTGGTTATCAAAATTGACCAAGACGATCGAGCCCCAAAATTTTCCATTGCAGACGACATTTCTGAAGTATATAGTCTGCCTGAGATTTACGAATGTATTAATGGTCAAAAGCCTTTAAGAGCTATGATTAATATCAATGCATCAAAAGAAGATATAGAAATAGCTAGAGTTAAGGCGCAAGAAGTATTCTTTCGAATCTGCCTATATTTCATAAGAGCTTTGTATCGAATTCTTGATTGTAGCTAGAAGGATATTCTTAAAGGATTAATAGTTACTACATCAACAGATCCTAGCAAATGTAATTATCATATTTTATATACACCAGCTCTCCTTATTGATCATCATGAACTCAAAGCGTTTACAGAATTAGTATATATCATAACCGGTGAAAAATTTGGCAAGTATATTGACAGAGAGTTGCCTAGTCAGAATTTCAACCTTCGCCTAATCAGATCAGCAAAAAAAGGTCGGGTGAAGTGCATTCTCCAATTCTCTCTAGATAATGGCTAGAATGAACTCAATCACGTTAGGGTTCAATTGCCTCCTAGTTTGAGACTTGAAGTAAGACCTCGGATGCTTAGTGAAGAAAAAAATAATAATCCACTAAGAATAATCGTGGGTCAGGATGTATTGCAAAAATGCGTAAATCTTGTTTTGCAAAAGCATTTTAACTATCTTAGGATTAGACTATTGAAGAAAAAGACTCGAAAAACTTCATATATTTCAACCAGAAAGGTCTACTAGAATGTTTACTATGTAAACGTATACATAACAAGGATCAGCGGTAGTTCAGTTGTGTATATGCTAGCAATGGAACATTCATTATAAAATGTTTCCGGCAAGGTATTGATGAACCTGGGGAAGTTTTTGAATGCGACCCATCTATTGTAGAAAAAATTCAGCAAGAAAATAAAAATTCTCCACAATCCTCCCACAAGGTAAAAGCTCTGGGTTTCCCTAAAGCCTTCGTTAAAATGCCATCTTAGGTCAAGTATATTGACCCCTTACAGCGACAAAAACATATGAAAAGAGATATGTAAGATCATTACCTAATGAAGGCGATATATATGTGGGTCGCCTTGGGAAATAGAAAAAACATATGTTCTTGAAAATTTGGTTATTCCTGATAACGTAAATTTACTAGTGCTGTCTACGTGTCACTCTTACTCGAATGCTGTTACTACAAGGCTTAATCTTAAGTCATATTTCGATATTGACGGTAATATAAATCTACCTGATCACAAGAGGGTGGTATGTCAAATAGAAAGTTTACATCGTATTGTTAATAAATGCAAATGTAATAAAAAATGCAAATGCCTCCCAATCCAATATGACTTATAGCTTGATGAAATAGTATCTATAATTGCTCAAGCACAAAGTCGTCTGACAGGACAATCAATAGAGAGATTATATAAATTAATCCAAGAGGCTAGACGGATTATCATCATGGATAATGATCTTACTGATATAAATATCGAATAGATTAAGCCCTTCATAAGGATAAATCATTCTTAGTTATCCACAATACTTACTAGCCTTAGAATGGTAAAACATTCTGCTTAGCTCCTAATAAAGAAACTGTGTTAGCTGAACTCTGGGATTGGACTAGGCAAATATCTTCACTGCCTTCTGAGAAACGAATAAGCGTATCGCTTATCTGTCACCTTAGAAAAAATATGTAAGGAATTGTTCATGCTCTCAAAACTGATTTTCCAAAATTACGGATCAAGGAATATCATGGTAAATCTGATCTGGTGGAGAAGGCTCATGACTTTAGCAACATAGAAGAATCATAGAAAGACGTAGACCTAATTGCCTATACTAGTACTCTAAAGATAGGAGTGTCTTGCACCAATCCCAAGTTTGAACGAACATTCTGCATCTTTAACAATTAAATATAGAAACGAATGCTGAGACGAATCAGATGTTATTCTGCATGTGATGTATCAAAGACTATATATGTCATATCGAACAAAGATTGTCTAATATTCCTATTACAGAGAAAGGATTATTCTAATGGTTGTTGAATGCTAAACGAGAATGTCTTCCCCGAGAACTTCAGAATAGAGGAATATTTCTTGACATAGACTCTATCATTCGGAATAAGAATGTACCAACCATTCAATTATGAGTAGCATTTATGTTGGAAAAATTCCGTTCTCAGAGATTATTTGGTTAGAGGATGGTTGATTTTCTTCGAAAGGCGAGTATGATCATTTTCATCATAAAACCTATTTCTAAATACGATGAAAATGTTACATCATTATCTCAAGTTGTAAAGTTGAATTCCACTACCATTAAGGCAGAGGAGATATCAGCAATAACTAATGCTAATATCCTTGATTATGAGACTGCTAAATTATTGGAAAGCAAGACGAAGAAGA